GCTTGCAGGACACGGGCATGAAGCTGGAGGACAGGTGGAGGAGTTGCTTGGCTCCAGTACTTGCCTGCAGCAGTCTCCTGTCTCTTGGCTTCCTGGTGTCTAGAATTAGCTGCTGCTTTACTTGGACAGGAAGGAAAAACCTCTCCAGCCAAGGCCTGTGAGCAAAAGGGGTCAGTATTGTACGGTGAGTGCAGGAGGCCAGACCTTGGGGTCTGCCTTCTTGCCATGCCCTGAGCAAGGCTTCCCACAGCAGTAGGGGAAAGGGCACACCACTCAGCACAGCCCTGTGCCGGTGGCCGACTGCTGGGAAAGGGCACACCACTCAGCACAGCCCTGTGCCGGTGGCTGATGGCTGTCACTTTGCTTTCCATATCTCTAGTTGCTTCTGTTTTTTTGGATTGGTCATGGGGCTTGAACTCAGGACCTGGGCACTGTTCCTGAGCCTTTTTTGCTCAAAGCTAACACTTTACCACTCTGAGCCAGAGCTCTGCTTCCAGTTCTGTGGATGGTTAATTGGAGATGAGTCTTATGGACTTTCCCACCTGGGCTGACTGATCCTCAGATCCTAGCTTCCTGAGTAGCTAGGATTACAGGCCTGACCACCGATGCCTGGCCTCTAGTCACTTTTAAGGTTTGCTCAGCTTGTAATCCTAGCTTGTCAGAAGGCTGAGACCTGGAGAGCTAGACTGTAAGATTGTATTTCCATTAATAAGCATGTGCTTGGCTTGGAGACTTGGCTTACTTGGTGAAGTGCCAGCTATGAACAAGCAAGCTGAGCAGAACTGAACTACTGAGTTCAAGCCCTAGAACCAGAAAAATATGGGAACTCAAGTTACTTGTAGAGTAATAGACATTTGAGCAGGTCAGGGAAGAGAAGCAGGGCCCTGTCGGCCCATGGGCTTGTGTTTAAAGACAGCCCAGCTCTCTTCCTGGTCCTGGGGCCTGGTTCCCAGGACAGGCCTACTTGTCACCAGCACAAGGAGCCAGACCTCCTGGGTTAACCAAGCTCCGTGTCTCCAGGAAGTACTGCTGGGCTTCAGCTCTGACAGGTGGTCCTTCTGAAGGAAGATTGGAACGAGCCAGTGCCTGGTGAGTCGGCCACGTCAGAACAAGTCTGCAATGCCTCTTGCCTTTAGGAAGGTTGTGGCCTGTGGTTCTCCTTTGAGCAGCCTCCTCTCCCCTTCCTCCCGCCATCCCTCCCTCCCCACAGCATCCAGAATCCCGTGGCAAAGCCCAGTGACTGCTGGTGCCTGGACGCAGCTCAGGTCAGGTGGCACCCGGTGTGTCCCAGAGGCTCTCTGGAGATGTGCCTTTCCTCCCAGCTGAGCTGGGGAAGGCACAGCCATGAGAGCGCAGCGGAGCTCCAGGTGTAGCCCGTGTTGTGCAGGGCTGGGGCACAGAGGCTGGAGTCAGTGTGCTGCCCAGAAGACATGCTCCACCTGCCTTCCTGGCCTGGCCCCTCGGGGGGTCTGGCTATGGACCATGTGAGACAGCTGGATTCTGGAGCTGGCTGCTCCATCTGCTACAGCAGGTGATCTGAGCCGCAGTCTTCCCATGGAGCCAGGGGCTCTGGGGAGAGTGTTGGGGAGCCAGCTCTGCTTTTGTCTCCCGTGGCTTTCCTGTCCCCCCACTAAGGAGAACAGAGCCACACTGACAGAGACGGTGGAGGAGGAGGCCTTGCTGTCCTGTTGTGCCTAGGGGGGACATTCGGTGGAGAAGTCAAATTGTTGGTAGCACCAAACACAAGGACTGTTCTGCTGTGGCCTCTGGTTTGTCAGTACCCTTGGTGGCTCCTGAGGGCCTGGGGCAGATCAGAGAGCCCCTGCCCCAGGACCACCAGCGCTGTGGTGCGCAGTGGAGCCTCCCCGAGGGTGGCAAGCTGAGAACATCTGGCTAGATGGTGGGAGCTAAGGCCGCCCAGCCGGCCAGGCCTAGGCGCGGGGTCGAGGTCTCCTCCTCCTCTGGAGCTCCCTGTGCCCCTCAGGCCGCAGCACCGCCAGACCCAGCCTTCCCGCCAGATGCCGTCCAGGTGTCTTCTGTGTTAGGCAGGAGTGCTCTAAGGAGGACTACCGCCCTGTCCAGAGGTGGCCACAGAGGGGTCTTAGCCCCAGAAGCCGCATTTCTCCACATGCAGTGGTTGGGAAATGCCCAGAGCAGTCTTCCCTGGACATTGTGAAAGATTGTGGGCAAGAAAGTTTAGACTACCTGAGGCCAGCTAGGTCAGGGGCCGCTGGGCAGTGATACTGGAGTCTCCACGGCTCCTCTCCACGAGGTGCAGCGTCTCAGCACCGGGTTAGCTCATATGGCCCCGGGGCCTCCACTACCCACCCCTAAGACCCTCGGTCTGTAGCCATCATCGGTGTTGCTTTCTGTCATAACCAAATGAGACTATAAACTTGTGAAGGTTGTGGCTGTGTTTGGGTGGCCCCTAGTAAGGGTGTGGATGGTAAGGGCAGGGAGCAAGTGATAGAGTAAACGTCACTTCCTGGCAGAGAAGATGAGGGGGAAGGGATCGGGACGGGAGCACGCCCAGTGAGCCAGGGCCTCCCACAGGGCTGGCCTGCAGGCGCCCACCTCCCGATGGCCTTAGGGACACGCCACACTATGTTCAAGGGTACGTGGCTCCCTGAGTGACCAGGGATAGCCACCTGTCCCGGGGTCCACACCTTCAAAGACTCGGAAGCAGATCAGATAGCACGTGTCCAAGAGGCCCGGCCTGCAAGGTTGGTGATGGTGACGGTAGTGCTGGCGGTCACCATTGCTCACACTCACTAGATGGACATGTCTTAGCTCACTTTACAGCCAGATGGGGAAGCTGAGGCACCCAGGGGCGAAGGGCTTGGCTGGGTCTTGCCTCCAGGAATCCACAGCCTGAGTCTTGTGCCCTGTGGCTGAGGGGGTTCACCTCCCTGCCTGTTGCCTCTGTTCCAGTGTGAGCTGGCCCAAGGCGGAGTACTGGAGTCCAGCTGCCCTCTGTCCGTGCAGGGCCTGTCACCTGCAAGCTGGTCCAAACAGGCGGCACGTATGGCCTGGTCCACAGGAGGGGCTCAAACTGAGCTCCATGAGTGGATGGAGGGGTGCAGGCCGCCTCCGGGGGGTCCTCACTCCTGAGTGGTGCTGGGATGGCCTTGGCTGTGGAAACTGCCCAGGACTTGCATCTTGTCCAGGGGCAGAGCCCTGCAGCACCTCTGACGCACGCTTGGTGGCGAGCGCAGGCCCTCGCAGTGGCTGTGGCCCGCGCCCAGGCATCCGCAGGTGTGGGCGGGGCGTTCTGTGTGGACCTGGAGTTGGGGAATAGGAGGGTTCGTGCTGCACATTGGAACTGTCAGAGCGCTTAGTGCACCGTGGCCTCGGGTCCCTGTGGGGGACAGTGCCCCTGTGTTGACCCCGGATGCCATGCAGACCAGGGGCAGTTTGGGACTGGGAAGTGCTGCACTTGTCCTGTTGGTTGCTTATCCCTGTGGGTCCCCACTCTCCTACAGAGCTGAGCTTTGCAGGGCCGATAGCATCGTGGTCCTGCTGGGGCTCTGAGTAGCAGGATCCTGAGTGTGGATTCTCAGAACAGCCTAGAATTCTCCGGTGTTCTCCTTGTGGAGGTACAGGTCTTCAAACAGGGTGTGCAGGCTATACGAGGACGCTGGGGATGTATCTAGCTCGTGCTAGTGGCTGGGGAAGGGAGGGACTTCAGGGGCCCACGGGCATCTCTGGGCAGCCTGGCAGCCAGGCTGAACGTGGCTGAGGACTTCAGATGAGGTCAGTTCCCGTGAAGACGGTGCTGGTGACTGGCAGAGGGCAGAGGGAAGCATCTAGCCTATCCCCACCTGCCTTCATGCCCACAGCCCTGCTAGACCTGTCTTCTTGGAGTGTCGGTGAAAATGGCTGTGTGCGGATCCCTTGAGTCACTTCTGGCTCTGTCCCAGCATAGAGGATTATTTTTACCCTGTCTTTTTTTTTTTTAATTTTTTATTGTAAAGATACTATACAGAGGGTTACGGTTACATGAGCAAGGTAATGAGTACACTTCCTATTGAGCATTGTTACCCCCTCCATTGTTTTCCCCCTACCATCCCTTCCCTCCCTATCTTCCCCGAGGTTTTACCCTGTCTTTCTGTGGAGAGCTTTCTGGGTGGCCAGGGCGTGTGAGCCAGTGTGGCTTCTACAGGGTCTGGGCGAGGCCTCTGGTGCCATTACCATGTCTTGGCTGACATGAATCTGCTCTGAAAGGAGACCGGTGGTCTGGCGCCTCAGCTGTCCAAGGGCAGGGACATCGGTGTGAATGTGGGTGGTAGAGGAGCTGCCTGCCCACACTGCTCCCCTGAGACAAGTCCCACCCCTGGCTCAGCTTCTAGAACAATTGCTACCTCTGCTCTCCAGGGAACTCCAGGCAGCAAAGGAGCTCTGGCTAGCTCCTCTAGAGGGAACACTGTCCTGCAGGACTCAGGACTCAGGGTGGATGAAGGATCCCAGGCCTCCGGCGGCACCGAAGCCTCCCTGCCAGGGGCAAGACTCCTGCTCTCTGGGCTCCATGCCCTATGCCCGGGGGCTGTGGTGTGTGCCAGGCTCCGTTGGGGGTGGGGGAGGTCACCAGGACCTCGTTCTCTTCCCTCACCGTGCAGTGAGGGCCCTACCTAATTTTTCATCCTTTTACAAGTTTAGAGAGCAGCCCTTTACATTTTAATTTTCCTCCCCAAACATTCCTCCCCACCAGGCTCTCAGAGCCCCTAACACCCACAGCCCGGCCTGAGCAGGGTGAGGGCTGGACTGCCCAGGGGCACATTCTGGGGTCCTGTCTTGTCCAGGGGCCTGGACTTGACTTCGGGGAGTTGACCACCCAGGGAACCACCATCTAGAACGGGAGGCTGGGAAGCCCAGGGCTGACGTGTGGAGAGGACGGGGGGGTCCTGCGCCCACCCAGGCCCAAGGCGCCCAGCAGGTAGGGGCCGCCTGTGTGACGGCCAGCGGAGGCTGTGGAGCAGAGTCCACCCGCCTGTGTGTGATGGTCAGCGGAGGCTGTGGAGCGGGCAGAGTCCACCCGCCTGTGTGTGACGGCCAGCGGAGGTTGTGGAGCAGGCAGAGTCCACCCGCCTCTGTGTGACGGCCAGCGGAGGCTGTGGAGCAGAGTCCACCCGCCTCTGTGTGACGGCCAGCGGAGGCTGTGGAGCAGAGTCCACCCGCCTCTGTGTGACGGTCAGCGGAGGCTGTGGAGCAGAGTCCACCCGCCTCTGTGTGACGGCCAGCGGAGGCTGTGGAGCAGAGTCCACCCGCCTGTGTGTGACGGCCAGCGGAGGCTGTGGAGCAGAGTCCACCCGCCTCTGTGTGACGGCCAGCGGAGGCTGTGGAGCAGAGTCCACCCGCCTGTGTGTGACGGCCAGCGGAGGCTGTGGAGCAGAGTCCACCCGCCTGTGTGTGACGGCCAGCGGAGGCTGTGGAGCAGAGTCCACCCGCCTCTGTGTGACGGCCAGCGGAGGCTGTGGAGCAGGCAGAGTCCACCCGCCTGTGTGACGGCCAGCGGAGGCTGTGGAGCAGAGTCCACCCGCCTGTGTGTGATGGTCAGCGGAGTCTGTGGAGCAGAGTCCACCCGCCTGTGTGTGATGGTCAGCGGAGGCTGTGGAGCAGAGTCCACCCGCCTGTGTGTGATGGTCAGCGGAGGCTGTGGAGCAGAGTCCACCCCACTGCCTGCTGGGCTTTAAAATCTTTTTTTCATTTTATTTATTTATTTACTTTGTTAGTCGTGGGGCCTGAACTCTGGGCTGGGCGCTGTCCCTCAGCTCTTCAGCTCAAGGCTAGCGCTCTACCACTTGAGCCACAGCGCCACTTCTGGCTTTTTTCACTTATGTGGTACTGGAGAATCGAACCCAGGGCCTCATGCACGGGAGGTAAGCACTCTACCACGGAGCCATCTTCCCAGTCCCCAGCCTGCTGAGCTTTGCTCAGTAGAGATGCGCTCACACAGGGTTGGGTCCTTGGGCCTGGACCCTAGGGAGGGCTCTGGACCCATGGGGTGGACAGTCACAAGACCTGGACTCAAGTTTTCCTATCTATCAACATAACTGCACACCACCTCACCCCAAAACAGGCCATATGCCAAGCCCTGACTCAGGAGTGGGCTGGGAGCGTGTGTTGCTGGGGGAGCGTGGACAGGGGCGCGTGCAGAGGGGAGCGTGTGTGGCTGGGGGCGCGTGCGGAGGGGAGCGTGTGTGGCTGGGGGCGTGTGTGGACGGGAGCGTGTGTGGCTGGGGGCGCGTGCGGAGGGGAGCGTGTGTGGCTGGGGGCGTGTGTGGACGGGAGCATGTGTGGATAGGGGCGTGTGTGGACAGGGGCGCGTGTGGACGGGGGCGCGTGTAGCTGGGGGTGTGTGGAGGGGAGCGCGCGTGGACGGGGGCGTGTGTAGCTGGGGGTGTGTGTGTGCGTGTGGACGGGGGTGTGTGTGGACGGGGGTGTGTGTGGAGGGGAGCGTGTGTAGCTGGGGGTGTGTGGACAGGGGCGTGTGTGGAGGGGAGTGTGTGTGGACAGGGTGCGTGTAGCTGGGGGTGTGTGTGCATGTGGACGGGGGCGCGTGTGGACGGGGGTGTGTGTGGACAGGGGTGTGTGTGGAGGGGAGCGTGTGTAGCTGGGGGTGTGTGGAGGGGGGCGCGTGTGGACGGGGGCGCATGTGGACAGGAGCGCGTGCCATCCTGGGTGAGCAAGAAGATGGGAATCCGGGCTTGGCCATACAAGGCTACCCGGATGGTGCAAAGGTTGGTGGTGCTGAGCTTCTGCCCGAGGACTTGCTGTGTGCTGGCATCAGCCACCCTGTGACAGATGGGCCCACAGGGTGGACAGGCACTGGCTGCAGCCAGGCCAGGTGAGGCCCAAGTAATGAGCTTCCGTTGAGCAGCTGGACAGCTCCAGGAGCCACTGCAGGAGAGTGGGGGAAACGGGTGGGGGACACTCAGGCCTCCGCTGGGGAGGGTGGGAGATCCACGAGACTCCTCCAAGGAGGCCCCAGAACTGGACCAGGCCAGGGCGCCCGAGCCCCCTCAGCTCCCGGGGCCTCCCCAGCACATGGTCTGGAAGATTATCCTGGAAGGGCAACGACTAGGAATGAAACCAGTTCTAGGGGAGGGAGCAGGGACACCGCCCTGCCCAGGGGAGGCCGCCTGCTAGGCCCAGGGTGGTGGTGAGCACCCACCAGCAAGAGGGCGGCTGCTCCGCGGGCCCCCAGCGAGCGGGGTGTCCAATTCTGGGGTGCTGGCGTCAGGCCAGGGCTTCCTGGGACAGCTGGGCTCTGCGGAGGCTCTGCTGTGGGGCGTGGGGTTAGCGTTTTTCCAGGAAAAGCCGGAGGGGGCAGGGCCGCGCGGGCCCCGCGGCGGGCACGGTGCGGCCCGACCCCGTGCGCAGGCCCCGTCCGCAGGCCCCGTCCGCAGGCCCCGTGCGCAGGCCCCGTGCGCAGGCCCCGTCCGCAGGCCCCGCGGCGGGCACGGTGCGGCTCGGCCCCGTCCGCAGGCCCCGCGGCGGGCACGGTGCGGCTCGGCCCCGTCCGCAGGCCCCGCGGCGGGCACGGTGCGGCTCGGCCCCGTCCGCAGGCCCCGCGGCGGGCACGGTGCGGCGCCGGCAGGTGGCGCTGCTGGGCCCCGCCCGCGGGCCTGAGTGGGCGTCATGCGGCTGCGGGGCGGGAGGGGGGGCTGCGGCGCCTCACGTGCCTCGTGCCCCGCAGAGCCGGGATGGGGGGGGCGGCGCCGCGCCCGAGCGGCCTTTGCGGATGCGAGTGCGGATGCGGGTCCCCTCGCCCAGCCCTAGCCCCGCCCGGCGGCCCGGGACGGCCTGCGCCGGGACCCCGGCCCTCGCGGCCCCGCCCCCGTTGCCGCGGCAACCGTCCAGGGAGCCCCGGGTGGGTGGGGGCGCGCGGCGCCCGGGGGCGCGCTCTGCCCGTGCGCCCCGTCCCGCGGGGCGGCTCCGCCGCCAGCACCGCGGACAGCTCCCGGCCCGTCCGCGGGTGGCGGGCCGCCCGCTTCCCCGGCGCGCCCGGCCCGGGCCCCCGGCGCCCTCCCTTTGTCTTGCGGTCCGTGCCGCCCGCTCCCGCTCCGGGGTCCCGGGCTGCGGACGCACGTGGCCGGCGCGGCCGCCCCCACCCGCCCCGCGGCGTCCGGCGTGCGGGCCCCTTTGTGTCCGCGGCCAGATCCCGGCCGGCAGCTGGGCCGCCCTCCGGGCGGGCGCATTGTTCGCCGGGCGCTTCCCGGGCGCGGGGCAGCCGCAGGGCGCGGGTCCCCGCGGGAGGGGCGCGGGCCGCGGGCCATTTCCATGAGAAAGGAGCGGCGGAGGCGCCTCTCTTGGCATTCACCGCGTGCCTTAATTGTATAGACATTAAATCAAGGTCCGCTGTGAACACGCAGAGGGGCCCTCGGGGCCTCGGCTCGCGTGGGGGCCTCGCCCGCGGGGCGGGGCGCTGCGGCGCCGGCAGGCTGCGGATCCCCGGCCCGCCCCCCGCGCCCCTCCTCCCCTCCCGCCGCGAGGCCTCGGCCTGGCGGGGCGGGCGCGGGCTGGGGGTGCGCCCGCCGGGGCCTCGGAGCCCGCCCCGGCCCCGCCGCCCGCTCCCTCCCGGGCCGGCCGCGAGCGCGCGCGGAACGCGGTTAAAATAAAGAGCCCCGGTGCGCGGAGCTGAAGACGGCGGCCTCTCCCAACCCGCGGGTCAGCCTCGCCCCGAGCCGCGGGCGGCGAGGCGGGAGGGAAGACGGGGCGGCCCGGAGAGGCCGCGGGCCGAGAGGCTCGCCCCGGCCCGGCCGCCGGCGCAGTTACCCGTCCCGCGGAGCCGCCGCCGCCGCCGCCGCCGCTCCTCGCTGTCGCCGCCTCCGCTCCCAGCGCCGCCCGCGCCGCCGCCCGCTCCCGCCTCCTCCTCCGCGCCCGCGGCCCCGCGCGCCGGGCTCCGGTGGAGGAGGGAGCCGGGCCGGGAGCTGAGCGTCCGCGGGGCCGGCTGTGCGGGCGCCCGGCTCCCGTCCTCCTGGCCCGACCCGGGTGCGACCGTCCCTGAGCTCGCCGCCGCCACCGCGCGTATCCGCGCTCGGCTCCGGCACCGGGCGATTATCACTGGGCGCGCGGTGACGTCACCGGACACCGGCTCCGCAGCGGCCTCCTCCCGGAGGTGTCCTTGAGAACGCGGGGCGCGCGCGCCGCGCACACACGCCCCGCGCGACCGGAGCCTCGGCGCACTCGCGCCGCGCTCTGCCCCGCGCGCCCCTGCTCCCGCGCGGACGCGGCCCCGCGGCGCCCTCGGCGGTGACCGGAGCCCCGCGGCCGCGCCGGCGCCCGGGCCGCCTCCCCGGCCCCGTCGGCCCTCCCGCACCCACGCGAAAGCCCTCCCCGCGGCCCACGGCCCGCCGCGCCCCGCGCCGCGCGCGGACGCCCGCCAGCCACACCCCGCCCGGAGCGGTCCGGGCCGCGCGCACGCCGCGCCGCACACAGACCGCAGAACCCGCGGACACGCCGCACTCGGCCTGCGGTGCCGCCAGCGCCTCGCGTCCCCGCCACGCGCTCCGCACCGGACGCAGGGCCGCCCGGCGCCCGCTCTGGGCCCGCCCCGGGGGAAGGCAAGGGTCCCGGGGGTCGCCCGCTGGGCTCATTGTAGCGAAGAGGGAGGAGGGACCCGCCCCCGTGAAGGCTTCCGGGCGGGCGGGGAGCCTCAGGCCCGGCACGCGTCGCGGGCGGACGCCCGGGGCCGTGGCTGGAGCCCGCCGCCGGGCAGCCCCCGCGGGCCTTTGTTCCCGCCGGGCACCCGGGAGCCGCGGCGAAGGCCTCCGTCGCTCCCCGGCCTCCCGGCCCGCGCCGCGCCCTCGAGCCTCTCTCCCACCCTCCCGCCTTGCTTCCCACTGGGCCTCCGCGGCCCTCGGGAGTCTGCCTCCCGCCCCCCGCGCCCCGGCCCGACCCGCTCCGTTCCCAGCCGCGCTCCGAGCGGCGCCCGCGGCAGCTGTCAGGGTCGCTCTCCTGGCGCGCGCCCCGGGGTTCAAAGCCCCGTTCCCCGCGAGGACAGCGGAGGCCCGTGCGCACCCCCACCCGCGCGCCAGCAGCCAGGGGCGCGCCCGCACTCCTCAGCCTGGGACCCCGGGCCGCGGCCGCTCACTGCACCCTGACGGAGCGCACGGGGAGCGCACGGGCGCCTAATCCGTGTCTAATCCGGGAAGCTGGGCGTCCAGGGGCCGGGCTCCCGCGTTCCCCCGGATCTCCCGGGCGCTGCGCTCCCGCGTCCCCCGCTGCCCAACCCACCCAGGCGGCGACCCTGCTGTCCTCCCCCGGCTCCCGCGGCCCCACTGCCCCCCTCCCTCGATGGCCCCGGCCGTCCCGCCCGCTTTCCGAGCTCGCGTCCGTTCTGAGGCGGGACTCCCTAGCACCCACAGGCGCCTCGGGCTCCCCGACGGGCACGGGCCAGCTGCGGCTCCCGCCGCTCCCTCCCTGGCCGAGAACAGCGGTCCCGCCGCAGCCCCCTCAGGCCGGGCCGCGCCGGCTGGCGCGCCTCCGAGGACCGCTCCCCCCCCCCCCCCCCCCCCCGGCCGTGTCCGGCTCGGCCCCGAGCGGCCCCGCCGAGCCGCTCCCCACGCTGGAGCCGCCGGTCCGCAGGCGCTCCGCGCCCACCCCGCGAGGGCCTCTCCGGGACCTTTGTGGGGACCCCGGCCACTCACTGCTGCTGGGCCTCGGTGCTTCGTGCTCGGCTGGGCCCGCGGCGCCCTCACGGTGTGCGAGTGTGCTCTGGCCAGTCCTGGGATCGCAGGCCCGAGAGGAGCCCCCGGCCCGAGGGGGCGGCCGACCCTGCCGGCCAGGCCCGGGGTCCTGAGCCCGAGGGGGGGCGGGCGGCCCTGCAGGCCAGGCTGCGGGCTCCTACGAGCTCACAAAGGCAACTCTGAGCCGGGTCAGGCGGCTCCTGCAGGGCGAGGGGGGTGATGCGGGCAGGGGGAGGGCAGAGGGAGGGCAGGGGGAGGCAGGGGTGTGGTCCGACCTCCTCCTCCTCCTCCTGCCTGGTCCTGGAGAGCCTGTGAATGGCATGGGATTAAACAGATCAGCCCCCTCTTTTGGTGCTTTCTTCCCTCAACCACCGCCCCTCCACAGGACAGAGAAAGGGGAGGGGCCCAGGCCCACATCTGGAAACTGCTGGCTCAAGGGACTCCTTGACGCTTGACCCCACCCTAACGGAGCAGAGGAGAAATGGGGGCAGAGGGTCTTAAGTGGACAGGCAACCCCGTACCTTCCAGCGTTCAGCATGGGGGGGGGGGGGCGTTGAGGAGGTTAAAGTGCTGCAGGGAGGCGCGGGCTGTTGCACAGTGGTGGCTGGCGGACCGAGGGGAGCGCCCAGCCTGAAGGACCCAGCCCAGAGGTTGCAGGCCCAGGCCTGCCCCGCCCCCAGCGGGCTCCTCACGCTCCATAGCTTTTCCGTGGCACTGACCTCAGCCACCCCCTTCCCCAGCCCCGGCGATCCCAAGCCTGCAGTGGGCAGCTTGGCCTGGACACCTTGGCTCCCAGGGGGAGGACAGGGCCAAGACATGCTGGGAGGAGGGACTTTGGAGGCCTAGCCCTCTGCTGGGGCCCTGGCCCTTCTTGGGTGTCCTGCATGCCTTGCTGGCACCCAGCACTGGGGAGGTGCCCCTGCTGCCCAAGCTTGGTCTGGAAGGGGTCAGTGTACTCTGGCCGCGGTGCCTGATGGGAGGGGAGGCCCGCCTGCCCTTTCTCCTCCTGGTCCTTTGTAGTGGTCACGCCTGAGTGACCACCACAAAGACTGACTGTGAGCCTGGCCTGCTCACAATGTGGCAGGGGCCCTGCACATGGAAATGAGGACACAGCCAGTCCCTCCCTCCCCTGCCTGGCGTCCTAGCCCTCAGATGACAGTCCTGGAGATGAGTTCACCTTGGCGCAGAGCCCTTGGAGCCTCCGTCCTGGGTGGCCACAGCTGCTGGTGACGACCTGGGGAGGCCGTGGAGCCACACACCTGGGCCGGGACGGGCAGGGGACCCCGGAGGACCTGCTCCCTTGCTCAGCGGACTCTGCTGGGCTGGAGGCGGCCTATGGCGGGAACGGGTCTTTTGTTCTCCCACGGATGGATTTTTTTGGCTGGTGAGTTTTCCAGTTTCTCCCTGGCCACCCATCATGGCTCCCGGGGCCCCCAGCCCTGTCCTTTCCACAGGGCTGGGTCTTGGCTCGTTTGAAGCAGCATCCCACTGCCTCCAGAGTCAGCCCGGGCCCCAAGGGTGCATTGTGGATGGAGGCTGGCCCTCCCTGGGGAGCTTAGTGTCCGTGAGTCAGCCTGGGAATCCAAGCATGAGGGATTGCCTCAGCGCTGACCGCTGTAAAGTGGAGGAGCCTGGGAGCAAAACCTTGGCAGGGCCTGCAGGGCTCTGGCATTGGTGGTTCCGGCCCCAGAGCTTCCTTCCCTAAGACCTGTACCCCAGCTGACTTCACGTCCCAGGCCAGGCCTGGCCTGAGTCTGCACCGCCCCCCTGCCACCACCTCGCTTACAGCCTGGCCTCTGGGAGGGGCTGGGGGGTGGCTGGCCTCTCTCTCGGCTTCCGGGCAGCCCTCCCTCGCTGAGCCCCTTCCCCAGCATAGGAGCGGGGACGGCTGTTCGCCTGGCATGCCCTGTACTGCTGGCCCCTTGGCTTCCTATGTTCTTCCCCTTTTGGGGCCCCAGAGTCAGGACCCCATCAGAGAGCCCTACCACGTAGCACCACGTGTGGGCCCAGCCGGCCCAGACCTGGATTCTCTAAACGGAGGCTCCTGAGCAGTGGCCTGGCTTGTGGTTGGAGCCGCAGAGGCCCCTGCTTGGCTTTCTGGGGTGGGTTCTGGAGGTCTGGCGGGGTGAGTAGAGGGAGGGCCTGCTTGTGCTGACACCGCTCCTCCCAGGGCATCGTGCCAGCCCCATGGGTCCCCGTGCCTCTTGGCCTCTGTGTGCCACTCAGACGTCCAGCTGGCCGGAGCCCCCTCGCCTTCCTCTTCTAGCATGTCCAGCTGACCAAGGAGGTGCCACGGGCTGTTCTTGGCAGGCAGACTCTGAGATCTCCACGGCAGGCCCTGCCCTGTGCTAGCTAGACTCAACCTCTACAGGGGAGGGGAAAGGAGGAGGGGAAAGTGAGGGCCCTGGAGCGCAAGATTGGCTGGAAAATGAGCAGAGCAGTTGGCCTTTGCTGGCAACTGTGCAGATCTGGGGAAGTGCGCAAGAGTGCAGGACTTACTGCCCGGGATGTGCGTGGCGATGTGAGCCCTGTGCTGTCCTGGCAGCTTTAGGGAAGGAGGTAGAGACAGGAGCTCTGAGGGGGGCAGGGGGCAGACTAGAGGAGCAACCTCAGGACTGCTCACCAGCG